ACTGACTGGTAAACGGAATCCGTTCAACTTTTAAATCAGACTCATTCTACATAATAGAAGACCGTCGTTTTTTTTTTCTCGGTTGTCTATAAACCCGGAACCGGAAATCGAAATGGGCTTTCTGTACTGGAAGAAACAAAAACGAAAATGACTTTTATATTATCCGTTATACAAAACACACGTGTTATAGTGCGTGGTTTTCAAACACACAGTCTACGCACGTACAGTGTTTATAATTATTAAAATAAGAAACAAACGCAAAATATTTTTTTTACAAATTGATAAGATTAATACAAAAAGGGGAATTTTTCAATCTTTCAATTTATCTCCCCAGCAAACCCATCAGCCAATCTCCGGGTGAATCTTTCTCCCATTATACATGACGTTTAGAATTCCGAGGAATTCCTTCGCAAATAGGGCTTCCTATTGATGTTGTCACCTGGAATGAGTTATTATTATTATTTTTGTTTGTTTTAAATGTTTGTACGCATTTGGATTTTTTTTGAAAAGCCATGTTTTAGCATGCTCCAATTCGAGTCTCCCCGGGAGTGCCACGTTCATAGGGCTTACAGCACGTGTGGAAAAAGGTGTTAATCCATAGACTGGACTCAGGTCCGTTATTTTTCATTCAATTGAAATGTGTTTCAGTCTTTTTTTCAGATACATGTATTCTGCAGTCTTGTGAAACAATGTAAACATTTTACGTAAAGTTCGGTTCAAAACCAGTTTAGTTGATTTATCTTTTCAAATAACAGAAGAACCCGCGATAAGGAGATGTTCACGCGCGAAAACCACAATGCATCTAATTTTATTGAATGTACGGAAACGTAAAAACAAAATTATTGCGTTATATTGTTGAAAAACATGAAGAGTTTTGTTTTCATTTCTATCGCAGTGGATGCCATCAAGTCGGAATTAAAAACTCAGGGGTGGGCGTAAGTTTCGGCCATCATTTTCAATTGCCACCCGGATGTTTTAGTTACGCAATTCTGCCACGCACATGTACTACGTCTTATCGATTGAGAGTCGTTCGCGGGTATGAGAACGGATATTCAGATTTCCTGATTTTAAAGGGGAACCGCTCAATCCCATGGATTGCACCAAAGAATCATGGGACACTATTGTTT